GGGCTCCACGCAGCCTAGGTGGTGGTGCTGGCGCTCGGCGTCGAGCTCTCCTGGCCTCCGTCCTGAGCCGTAGGGTCACCTCCATTGTTATCTTGGGGTTGCCTGGTGTGTTTTGCCAGCACCGCCAGCCCGGCACACTCACTGCGTGCATGTGCTGTGTGTACACACACTCTTACACGCTCGCTTCCTCAACCTACGTGGCCTCTCAGGCTTGATCTGTGGCCAGCGCATAGTAGGTCTTAGTAAGGTGCATGGGAGAGATTACGGATCCATCACCCTGGCACCCCAGGGACCCAGCAGGGTGCTGCACATAGTAGGTGCCCAGTAGGTAGTCCTGAATTCCTTGCAGAGAGATACCTTCTGAGACCCAAGCTGGTGGGGCTCTGCCATTATCTGATAGAGGGGCCCAAGTGCTGCTTTTATTCCCCTCCCCCTCTGTCTCTCTCTCTCTCTCTCTCTCTCTCTCTCTCTGAGACAGAAGAGTCTCACTATGTAGTCCAGACTGGCCTTAAATTCATTAAGTTGCCCAGGTTGGCTTTGATCTCACAGGAATCCTCCTGCCTCAGCCTCCCGAGCGCTGGGATTCCAGGCATACAGCACTGCACCTGGTTCCCTCATGCTCCTTTGCATCTTGCTTCAGAAGTCTGAGGAATCCCCAGGAACCCTGGGCTCCAGCACTTTGAGCACCAATCAGTCTTTTCCTGTGTACTGCTGCTGCTGCTGCTGCAGCCTGGCTCCCCACCGGTCCCTGGGGGCGGAAGGGCCAGGCTTTCCCTCCCAGCAGCCTCCCTCCCTGGGGAGCTGAGCCGCTTTGCCTGGGGGAGCTCGGGTCCTCCCTTCCGGGCTGCGCTTCCCTGGAACTCAGGAGAAGACAGCCAAGGGGACCTAGATGTTGGCGGCTGTGCCTGGCCTCTGGAGGAAGAGACCCAGCTGGCCACGCAGGGCTGGCCGGTGGCATTTCATCCACACATGGGGCCATCTGACCGCCCAGAGCCCCCTGTGTGCCCTCAGGGGCACCAAGCCCCTCTGCATCCTGTGCTTTCTGCTGACAGCTGGGGACCGGGAGAAAATCCTGGAATAATAAGCTCAGGTCTGATCACACATCAGGGTCCACACAGAGGCCCTGCCCTGAGCAAAGCAACCAAGGACCGTCCTCAACCTCAGTATTCCTGCCTGGGCAGTGGGGAGAAAATAGCACCTTCCCCAGCGTGATGGCAAAGTGGAAATAGGAGCCCACCAGGAACTCGCCGTGCAGGGGTCTGAGTGTGCGACTCCAGCGCCAGCGCGGATCACTTTCTAGAGACCCAGCCGGCTTCCAGCATTCAGTCATCAGACCCTCACGCCGAGCCTGGGTCTCTGGGTGTCCTTGTATGCCCATTTTCCAGGTGTGGCAACTGAGGCTGGGCAAGGTGACATGGCTCACAGTCATAGATGGAGCTAGGAAACAGTGAGTAGGAGTGTGAGCCAGCGGCTGCTCCACCTCCAAGGCCCAGATCACAACTGTCACTGTGGTCACTCATTTTGGATCTGGAAGGAACCTTCCAGATTGACCCATCTTCCCATTTTACAGCTGAGAAAACTGAGGCCCAGGGAAGAAAAGCGACTAATCTAGTCAGCAAGCTGCCAGGCTGAGGGTCCTGCAAATGTTGCTCCTATTTATTGAGCACTCAAAGTGCACCACATGCCACGCTGTGGGCATCATTTAATTTTTATAATAACCCAGGAAGATGGAGGCTATCATTGATCCCATTTTTAATTTGGGTGAACTGAGGCAGAATGGGAACTAGCTTCCTCAGAGTCACAGAGCCGGGGAGTCAGGCTATAGAGCTCTGGGCCAGAGTTGTTCTGCAGGGCTGTCTCCACGCAGAGTCAGGCTGGCTTTGCCAGGGACCAGCCTTCCCTGCCCGGGGAGTGGGGTCCCTGCGACTCCCTGGCACGGCCGCCACGAGGCGAGGCTCACAGGAGGGAGCACGGAGCTGGGGCTGGGGAGCCCAGTGTGCCCGGAGACCAGAGCTCCTGCCTCTGCGAAGAGAAGTGTATCCAGCAAAATGCAGACAAGCAGAGAACACGTCCTGCTTCGTGTGTCTCTTGTAGGCAGCACACATCTTGGGGGATGTGTGGATGAAAGGCACCATATAAAATGCAATCAATTATGAATCACCATTACTGAATTAATCACATGTATGATTAATACAGTAATAATAATTAATGGGAGTATGGTCTAGAGATTTGAGCTGGGAACTGGCAGGGAGGAGCCTGAGCGCTTCTTGCAGCCTCTGTGACTGCCGGGAGCTGTCACGTTGGGGAGCACCCTGGGCTGGGGTCTTGGTCCCTCTCCCCCTGTGCTTGGGCTGTAGAAGAGAGGCCCAGGGAGATCTTGAAACCCCTGGACGGTCCCGGGCAGCTCCTGGGCTCTTACCACGTCCCTAAGCTGCGTCTCAGCTGCTCAAGGTCAGGCGGACAAAGAGTTTCCTGGCGAATCCAAAGCTCGGCCTGGCATAAATGGACAGAGTGAACCAGGCCTGCGGGGAGAAGGTGGCAGTGGTGGTTTCTGAGTCTGCACTCCCTTTAAGCACCAGCACGAGTGCCTTTGATCTGCCTGTCCTTCTGTCTGTCAGCTTTAGGATTTGCAGTCTCCCTCAAAATCCCCAGAGGGCTGGATTACCTGTCATCACAACTCTCATCTCTTACCTCTCCTTGCAAAGCTGGTAGATTATTTCTGCGTTTGACTTTAGAGTTTTCTGTGACTTAGCTATCCTGTGCGTGTTTCCTCACTGTGAAGGAGTTGAACGGCATAGAGGGAATATAAACAATAAAGCCTGTGGCGCCCCGTCTCCCTGTTCACACTCTGGTGTGCAGCTTAGAGCGTGTGCGTATACAGCATACATAGGATATGTGTGTGTGTGTCTGATTATGCACAATCCTTTTAAAAAAAAAAAAACCTCAGACTGAATAAAATTAAGCGCATTGTTCGGCAATTGCTTTTTGTTAGTGATCCCATGTACACAATTCAAATTAAAGCTGGGCCGTAGAGCCAAAACCCCACCAATGAAGCTGATTAGGCTGCTGGCGAGAGAGGAGCCAGCGATGAGTTTTTTGGGAGACTCATTAACACTTTCCTGACTCTACTGCTCTGCATTTGTTCAATGCCAGGAAAAGGTCATTTGTCTGAAGGAACCTTAATAGTTTTCAAAGATGAACGTCCCCTGGCCAGCTGGCCCCTCCGTGCCCCAAATCCTGCTTGTCCCCCAGCCTGGAAAACAAGCACTTCATTGTTCCCTTAAGAGGAACTCCATCTCCTGGAGGCTGCGTGGAGTGCAGCCCCAGGACTGCAGCCCAGGGACCACCCTTGGGACAGATCCCCTCATTGTGCGGATGGGGAGACTGAGCCTGCGAGCAGGGGAGAGATCCCCCCACCGCAGGACACACAGCTACTGAGGGGCTGAGCCAAGACAATCTCATCGCGCTGCTCCCACCCCAGAGCTCTCTGCACTACCCCCTGACTTCCGGGGTCTGTGGCTGGGGAGACGGCAAGTCTGGCCTGGCAGTGGATCCCAGCAAAAGCCCGCTGGCCTCGGTTTGATGCCGAGTCAGGGAGTGTCGGGGTGGGAGGTCCCTGGAGAGGCGTTCGAGAACTGTCTCGAGTGTGCACAGCTTTGCACCCCCGGCCCCCGGCCCAGCCTGGCCAGCATGGGGGGGGCGCCCGGCCCCTCCTCTGTGTCTGGCGGGCTGCGAGGGGGAAGCACCCTCCTGCATGTCTTGTGGCTGATGCTGACAGCACCCGGGCAGAGCGATGATGGAGGAGCAGGCCGCTTCCGGGGATTGATGACCCTGCCTGGGGGGACAGCAGGCTGAGGGCGGCTGGGTCATCACTCACCCTGCGCCAGGGGCCCCGACTCTGCCCTTCTGCAGGCCGAAGGCTCTAAGAGCACCAGCGCTGCGCCCTTCTCGGCAAGCTTCCTTCCCTCCCTGCTCTGAGACCAGGGCGCTGGGGACCAGGGCTGGCCCTTGCCTGCTCTCCTGGACACCAGGGTGGGACCGGAGAGCAGGTGTGGGTACAGACCTTCCTTTGCCCTGTTTGGACCCCTTCTTAGAAAAGGCACGGTTGGCCCAAGTTGGCATTTCACAGGTGGGGAAACTGAGGCCCCAAAGCAACAGGTTAACCATGCCCTGGTTAACTACCAAGTCAGGCAGCCACAGAGCTCCACCACCCGGCCCCCCGAGCCCAGTGGCCTAGGCCAGCCCCATCCTGAGCTGCATGACCTTGGAAGTGGGGACGCCCCTAAGAGCAGTTATGTTGTCGCAGGGTTTGGGGGAAGAATCGGCGGGTAAAGCACAGAAAGGGGTTTGGGTAAAGGCCGCCATAAAACAGGTGTTCAATAAATATTATTATTAGCATAGCAGACAACAGCCCTTAATTCTGCATCCTCTGCTTGCTGTGTCACAAGCTTCTAAATGTTATTCAGCAGCACAGCCCCGTCTCTGGGCTTAGGGGGCCACAGCAGGGAAGGGTTAAGGCGGGGCAAGGAGGTAAGGGCTGGCCGTGGGGTGGGACACTTGCTCCCCTTTCTGACACCCTCTGTGACCTTGGACTGATCTCTCTCTCTCTCTCTCTCTCCCTCTCTCTCTTTCTCTGTCCTCAGGCCCTTTGTTCTTCATGCTTCCAAATGGCAGTGCTGGCGGCTGGAGCGCTGCATCAGGAACCCACCCTGAGGAGGCCAGGAGCACCCCAACCACAAGCGCCCCCGGAAGACAGTGCCAGCCCTCCCTCACACAGCCCCGGGAAGCAGCCTGGAAGGAACCCTCCAGGGGCCAGAGAGCCCAGGGCTGCCCGCTGGGGCCAACTCAGTGGCCTCTGCCCGGCCTTGCCAGAGTCCTCCCACGCCTCCTCCCAGCCTTGCCCCAGGGAGGCAGAGAACCCCCAGCTGGCCCCTGCCCCCCTACTCTGCACTCCCTGCAGAGCTGGCTTGGCTTCTCCAAAGCAGGGCCCATGAGGGTGGAGGCGGCGATGTGTCAGCTGGTATTCAGGCTCTGGTTGTGAGCTCAGATGCTCCCCCTCCCCATCTCCCCAAATCCGCCCACCCACCCCTTTACCCACTGCTCCGGGCCTTCTGGGTGGCAGCCCTTCGCAGAGAGAGCAAGAGAAAGGAGCAGCCTAGAGCCCTGGGCGGCTGGGCTGGGGGACCCGACTCCCTCGGCCCCCTTCCTGGTGCCGATGGGGCAGCCCTCACACCCACGGGCGCCGGCACCCCGGAACACCCCCCGCGCCCCGCTTTTGGAGAGGGAGCAGCTGCAGCCCCGCCGCGCCTGACCCCACTTGGCTGAGGATGCGCCCTGCGCGCGGCGGCCCGCTGGCCCCCGGGCCCGGAGGCGATGTGTAGGCAGCGACCCCCCACCCCCGGAGCGGGCTCGCTGCCGCCGCCGCCTGCTGGGGTCCACCCTGGCGGCCGGCTCTCGGAGACACCCCTGCTCGCCGCGCCCCTCCCCGGGCCGTGGCGTCCCCGGAGTCTCGCAGTATTTCCTCCCTGCACCTTTAAGAAGACCGCTGCTCTGTGGTGGGATGGTGTGTTAGAGCCACACAGAGGAAGTTACGCAGCCCGGATCAGGCCGAGAGATAAAAGCCCGATGGTGATCGCCAGCGATGGCAAGAGGATTGTGCCTGGGCATTAACTTGGAGCGGCGCGCGGGGGGGCCCTGAGCGCCCCGCCATCTGGCCCGCGCCCTGCTGGGGCGGGAGGGGGGATGCCCCGGCGCTCCAACCGACAGCAGCCGCGGAGCCCGCCCAGGCCGG